GATTAGTGAAGGGCGGTGTATCACTCCAACCTCCTCCTCCTCCTCCTCCTCCTCCTCCTCCTCTTCTTCTTCTTCTTCTTCTTCTTCTTCTTCTTCTTCTTCTTCTTCTTCTTCTTCTTCTCATTGCCTTTGTACACGGATGTTCAGTTGCATGCCAGTAGCCATTGGTAGACCTATTCCCACTGGATCTGGCTAGTCCCCTTTCAAAGCCGACTCCACCAGTGGCTATCAACACACCTTGTGGCAGAGAGTTCCAAACAGAAATTAACACGTTGCATTAAGTATTACCAGCTTGAGTCCTTAGACCGTATTTTTTCTGGAGTGTGAAATCTGGTCTGATCTGAGGAAAAGGTATTCGTCCTCCCTCTTAATAGGTTACGTGAATGTCTCATCTAAAAAAAAACCTGTCCAGTTTTTCTGTGTAGATGAGGATCGGAAAACCACCTTAGCAGTTGCTAAATATTTAGCTGCAGTGATTTGCCTGTAAGAAGGCTGGATCTCCTTCTATTTACAGCCTTTGAGTCAGAAGAACAGTAAGGTGACTAAGTACATAAGTAGTCGTTTCTCAGATCCTCTGAGTAGAGAGGATGGCATTGAGCCAGATGACTCAAACCTGGTCTTTGGATCCTCACAAACCCTCTGACCTCACCCCCCACTGGAACTGACCTCAAGTAAGCCTCAGTTTAAACAATGTGATACCAATAGGAGATCTGTGTATCTGTTTCGGCAATGACTTCTGAGGTGTGTGCTTAACCTCCAAGCAACCATCACTTTCGTAGATTCTAATCTGCCTCCACATCTTCATTTTGTATTTTTTTTTTGCCATCAAATCACAGCTAACGTATGTGGCGACCCTGTGGGGTTTTCAAGGCAAGGGACGTTCAGAGGGGGCTTGCCGTTGCAATACGACTCTGGTATTCCTTGGTGGCCTCCCTTCCAAATGCCGGCCAGGCCTGACCTTACTTAGCTGCTGAGATGAGCCGAGATTGGGTCAGCCATTAAACTACTTCAAAAAAAAATTAAGCTGCCTGGAGAAACCAGTGCTCCAACTATCAGGTGTTTAGAAAGTGAAGCACTCGCTAACACAAGGCGAAGGGACCCCATTTTCTGGTAGCTCGAACAACCTCCACAAAAGGACCTGCTTAAAAAACAAACAAACACTAAGCCCTCTCCTCTCCTTTCAAGTGCCTTTTTATTGTCGCTTCATATAATGCTGAATGGTTTCATAATTAACTCTAATTGGCACCTCGCACAATCTGTGCGGCGCCTTTGGTTCCCGACAAGTACCGCTTGCGTTTTTTTTAATGTCGGGAAACATGAAAGGGAAACATTAAAAAAAGAAAAAATGATAACGTCCAGCGAGAAATGTAACACGCTGAATTCCTGACCCTTGGGCCAGGCAAGGGTGAGTATCTCTTAGTAAGGCAGGGCTCATAAATATTTCCGGCGGTTTTGAAAAAAGGATTTCTGACAATATGCCAACTGCTGCCATGTTCAGATTGTATGGGTGACTGAGAGGGGTGTGTGTGTCTGTGTGTGTGTGTGTGAGGATCGGAAAATTTCTGTAACTCAAGAGCCAGTTTGGTGTAGTGGTTAGGAGCGCGGACTCTAATCTGGGAGAACCGGGTTTGATTCCCTGCCCCTC